ATTGAGAATGGCAACAAAGGAACATCATGTATTGTTCGTTCAAGATGTTAAGAAGGTATAAGAAGATGTTAATTTAAACTTCAAGAGCTTCACCAAGACATGGAAAAAGAGATTGTAGTTGTTCGCACATAATTTGCATCTCTAAATCAGAAGGTGGATATAATTTGTGATGCTGTGACAAAGTTTGCTAAGTTGTATGAAAATTTGAGTCCTCAAATAGTTCAACTTTCTACAACTGAAAACAAAAATTTTATGGAAGTCCTCGCATTGTTAAAGGAGCTTAAAGCCTTATCTACCAAACTAGTTTCATCTTCTCAATTCTCTTCGGATGATCTATTCCAGAAGTTTTCTCAATTAGAAGCCTTACTTCTCCAACAGTTGGCTCCTCTTTCCCGCATATCCAGCCTTCTTCGCACAAAATATGCCCCGCCTGTTTTTACAGGGGTGCAATGGGGAGAAAGGAAGAGTGAAGGTTCGAAGGCTGGAGGTGATGATGCGAAGGTAGTAGGAAAGGTATTTCCTTCAAAGATTCTAACTACAAAACTAGTTATAGCATATGATGGTCCAGTTTCTTCAACAATAGTAACAACCGTGCCAATTACAAGACCAATTTTGAAAGGAATTGTGATTGGTAAATCTACTGATATTGATGGGATTGATTCAAAGGTGAAAGAAGTAATAGAAGACTCAGCTTTGAAGGCAAGAGGAAAATCAATTTTGATAGAAAAATCTAAGGAAGAAAAGAAGGTTGAGGCTGGGGCTGAATTGGAGAGGATAAGATTAGTACAGAGTATAATGACTCAAAGAGCAAGTGATCCTCATGGCATGAACAAATGTGTTCCATTAAAGCATTACAACTACGAAACAATTGAAGCCAATGTTGCATTTAATCACATGTATTCATTTGAAAAGAAGCCAAAGCAGAGCTACATTGTCAGAAATACTGATGCAAGCCATTGGAATTTCCAATAAATGAGATGAAGTTCATTATGCCCCAGTTCAAAGCCGAAAGCAAATTCAAAGAGAAGGATGAAGGAAATCATATGAAAATCAGGTTTCATGCAGTCCTTACGAAACCAACTGAAGAAGTGTGGTCATTGATAAAGATAAAGAAAGTTATCAGCATAAAGAAGGATGTTGTTTTCGTAAAAATAGTCCAAAATATGAAGTATGTGGTGGCCAGAGCGAATGGGAATGTTTGTGAGTTTACAATTCCTGATTTTCATTTAATGAACTTGTATGACCTTATACAAGTTGCATTACTGTTGAAGGAAAGATTTTTCTCATATCTTCAGAATACTGATCCAAATGAGTACAAGTCGGGAGTTACTCACATCAAGATCTTTATTGAAAATTATTATGAATGCTTAGCATTAACTGATGTGGAGTTGGCTACAGCTAAAGGATTGGAAATTATTACGAATGCTTAGCATTAACTGATGTGGAGTTGGCTACAGCTAAAGGATTGGAAATTACAGCTCCTATGGCTCCTTCGAAGACTCAAGCGGATTTAAAGAAGTATGCTGATGGTGAAATTTGCTTTGAAGCCTTTTGGTTTAGTCTTCTCAGGGAAGGACAAATCTGGAAAATCAAAACGATTTTTGTTCCAGGGTGGTGAGGTGGAAAGGTATTCAACTTCTTAATACACGAACTTAATTGTTCGTATAAATCATTGTAAGAAGAATAATGAAGGAGATAAAAAGGAACTCAAGAAGATTATATCATGGTACACTGAGATACGAAGAGTGATGTTGTATTCCATTCAACTGCTTACGAACTGAAGTATTCGACTATGATTACAAAGGGGGAGATTGTAAGGGTTATTTTGTTGTAATTAGTCGAAGCTTACTTTGTACTCTTCGTATGAATTGTAATATATTTTACTAGGGCGCTTTTATTTGAAGATTAAGTGTTAATGCCTTAGTATATTTTTTGTACGCTTTATGTATCCTATAAATAGGATCATATACTAGAGTTAGACAACTTGAATAGCCTTGTCTATTTTTATCTGTAAACACTCATAGCGGAATAGAGCTGAAGCGAAATCTTATTTACATCTTGTGTTCAATTACAAAAAAATCTTCATCCTATAAAAAAATCAAATCAAATTTAACTAACCCCGTAACAAAATGGAAACTTTTGGACCATTTGTGCTAGTCCAAACCTATTTGTCTCAAAATAACAATTTTCAACACACCACAAAGACATTTCTTACAATTGTGTTATATATATATATATATATGTATGTATATATATATATATATATGTATGTATGTATGTATGTATGTATAGAGAGAGAGAGAGAGACATATTTAAATATTCTAACTAAATATTGTGTGGATGTAGGAATCAATATGGGCCAATCATTCTAAAAGGTTAATTATGTAGTGTTACATTTAATTACTATTTTTAAATTCATTAATTTAATATTTCTCATAAGTTAAATCCATTATATTAGGAAGTTAAACCTAAATTTCTCCCATTTATCTATCAACCGAATACTTGATCGCATCCCATTCTGTGTGCTCGTGAAATTGAATTCGAGAATGGGTCTAGTGAAATTGAAGGAGATGAGTAGATGATGCGTGAAATTCAGCCGAATACTCCATCTGATATACCCCTCTATGCCTCCATCTATGAATTTCCTACCTATCTCCTCACCAATAGCACCCACTTCGATCACTATTCTTTTCCAGAATGAAGCTTGTGAAATTGGAGTAGATGAGTAGATGATGCGTGAAATTCGGCCGAATACTCCATCTGATATACCCTTCTATGCCTCCATCTATGAAGTTCCTCCCTATCTCCTCACCAATGGCACCACTTCGATCACTATTCTTCGCCAGAAGACCTGATCTTCCATTCATAATGCATCCATCTAGCCTCTCTCTCCAGACCCCACAATCGAGGTACGTATTTCGAAATTCAATTCACATGGTTTGTTTGAATTTTGTAACTGAAGTGATTTTTGTGGTGTTTTTTTATCATGTGATATTATTGATTCCTAGGATTTCTCTATGCTTGATACCCAAAGCCTATTCTGTGTAGGTGCTACGTGTTCGTTTTATGCCAACTATGAGTGTGCTTGTTAATGAGATTACTGCTTAGCTTTGTTTGTTGGTGTTAATTAAGTCTTATAAGAAGTCCCTTGGCTTTGTTTCACAAAATCACATTTGACATTGAGATGCCTAGCTAGGGAAGAATGTAAAGGCTAACCTTTACAATGCACTTCATTATAGTTTTCTACATTATAAAATTATAGAGAGAGGAAAAATGGCATTTTTGCAATAGTAAGCTTTTTACAGTCATCTTGAACTACTAGTTAAATCTTGATATCATTTGTTATTTGTATTGTGCTTTCTGCAATGTTATTTCTTTTATAAAACACTAATAATAGTGTTTTCTTGATGATAGGGTGGATGTTTATATCAGTTGTATACTTGAGTCCGTGAGTAGATATTGTCACTTGCTGGAGCGTTTTATCTTCAAATTTAGTTGAGGTTTATCATCTCTAAACTTTGTTGATGATTTTTTAATATTTGAGAAGAATGTAGAATCAATTCAGTGAGATCTCATTTCACATGCAATGTAGGCATACCTGATTTAGTAGAAACCTTGGTGTGCAAAGAATTTTTGCTCAACTGCGTTAAGATAACCACTTTGGTATTGTAAGCATGCAAACTGTTTCCTTCTAAAGCTTTCGAGCTGGTGAAAGTATCCATTGTCTCTCTTTGGTATTTGAAGAACATGTGTATATGTTGATTTTTTTAACATGTGAAATTGCCCAGTTAATTAATTATGTCTTAGTAATCTCCATTGCAAAGGCTAGAAGTTGAAAAAGAAAAATTTTCTAAACTTATTATGGGATTGAAAACAATGTTGGACGTGATAAGTACAAACACATTTTATGTTTAGAGGCAGTAAAATTGAGAAGTTGATTTGAAGCATGGTGAAGAATGGAAAGTAAAGCAACAATATTTGTTCAGAACTGATTAGCATGTTTTTCTATCATCATGGATTAGCAACAATATTCTATGAGAATGTATTAGTGTTTTACTTAGATTTCAATGTTTTTATTTGATTTTTAAGTTTTAACCATTCTCAGTTTTATTCTTTAAGAATAAATATAATTGTTAACCAATATTACTTGTATTCTTTCAAAATGAATGTCATTTATGTATGTTCATAATTGTATTAGTTAAGAATGAATGTAAGTATTACTTTTAAGATCTTAAAAGTCTTTTCATATAAATTTTGTATACATTAAAAATTATTAATATTGATATTATATGTTTATAATATTCTATCAGAATTTAATTTTTTTTTTCAAGATAATGGTAAACATATTCTTTTAGAATTTCCGAATTAATATATTTATAATCCAAGAAATCATATTTTTAAAGTTTAGAGAATTAATTCTTCCCTAAAATCTGTAATTTTCCTTTTTTAAATTTATGTTAATTAATTAAAATACCCTTAGAATGAAATTAGATTTTAATTTTCACTTATCTTTAATGTAATAGTATGTATTAATCATTTTCTTAAAATAAATAAAATGATCGGCTCACAATCATTCCTACATCCATACAATAATTAGGTAGAATTAAATAACCTAAGCCTATATATATATATATATATATATATATATATATATAGAGAGAGAGAGAGAGAGAGAGAGAGAGAGAGAGGAAAGATCATTTGAGAACTCAAAGTTTCCCAAGAACCCGAGAACTAAAGATGGAACGTTAGATCAAAATCTTGAATAGCTTAGATTGATCATGGTGTAATTGTAATTATCACTTGTTTCGATGGTATCTTAGACATTTTATAAATATTTACAAGTGCAACTTAGGCATTAAAAATATCAATCATAATAATCAATTTAACAAATTAAAAAAAACCACACACACAAACACGTGTTTCTCACTTTCTCTCTCATCTCTTAGGTTCCTCAAGACTCCATCATCCGCCTCCTTCCAATGAATATCTATCCATGCGATCTTTCCGCTACCAATTTCCATCACCGATTTCCACTAAGGATACCGCCACATTGAGGATTGAATTTGACATACATACTAGGGATCGATGATCCAATCCATCTACCGCCTTCCTTCTCCTTCCATCCTCTATCTCTACCTGTTCTGACAAACAACAACAACTACCAATCCACGATCCTCCTTTGGCATATCAACGACATCAAATCCACGATGCAATAGATCTACTTCATTCATTTTTATGTTCGATTGCAACAATAAACCGTTGAATTGCATTTGTGGATCACCTCTATTTGGCGAGGATCTTATACCGCCAATGCTTTTTTTCCCAATCACACCTCCGACTGCCACAAACTACACAAACACTATCATATATGGCTCCAACCTCCACAGTTCCCACCAATATATCAATTATCAAGTAAGTATCATCAATCACTTCATGATTGAATATGTTTTCATGACCTCGATCTGTTACATTGAAATATTGTTAATCTGATTTACTTCAGTTTAATTCTATTATTTCAATGTTGTTTGACATAGAATAATCTTTGAATCAAAACCATTGATTTTCGCGAGAGTGTAGATCTCCTTGTTCTGCTCACCAACTGTTCCATGAAATGCCTCAGAGGGTTTTGGGTTCTTTTGAGCTCAGAAGAAGTGACATCACATGGGGATCATTCTTTTGAGAAAATTGGAATACATCATATGTGGAAGACAATGTAGATGGATTTTAATTACTTTAGAATCTGATGGTTTATTGGAGTAGAAAGCTCTGGGTATCCAAATGAAGTTGTACACAAATTCGGTTATATCAATAAACTATTATTTAAGTGGATTCGTATCATGTTTCATCAGTTAAATGGATCATGAGTCGAGGTGACTCCAAAGTTCCCCATATTCATGTTATTACGATATAATTAAAAGAATCATATTATATTTTGCTACAATAATGAAAGTTTTTGAGGGTAATGAAGTGATATATTTGAATTTTGCTAATCATTCTCACGTATCTATGCTAGTTATTTTGTATTTCTAGGGCCAAAATTCTTAATATGTGAATTTATACATCAACAATTTGAACCCATCAAATGATGATTGGATTCGAGTTTTCTCCTTGCCAATTTCAGGTTCTTATCATTTATATTTTCTACTTTTGTCAATTTGTTTATTATATTTATAACATCCTTACTTCCATTTGTTATTTAATTAATAAAAAACGCATTGCTATAATTACATATATTTGTTAAAGTATAATAATTTTGAGAACATATTTTTTGTCAAAAAGCTGCAAATTTTATCCATCTTGGGATAAAAAATAGACCTGATAGTCTATTGTTTTCAACATTCAACCTGCTTCCCTAAAAACTCAAGAATCAGTCCTCCGTATTTATGCACTGCACCTATTAAGGTTTGTTCTTTTATTTATGACATGGGTCCTAGATAGTTTTTTATGTGCATTTTAAAAACGAGTAATCATTTGCTAAAAGACAGAGATAGTTAGGAAATCTTACATATATCTCAATAATTAGTTATCTAGCAACAACTCGTTACACTATTATCGAAATTTAATTATTTTGTCGTATAGAATATCCATTGTATTAATTTGGATGTGATTGATATATTTATATGTGATTCACATGTAGATCATATGTGATTCACATATTAATCACATGTAAATCATATATGAATGATATGTGATTCACATGTAAATCATAAGTGAATTATATATGAATTACGTATATATGCACACATTCATATGTTAATTACAAGAAAATCACATGCAATTCACATATTAATTACATTTGATTCACATGTAATTCACATGTAATTCACATTTGATTCACATATAATTCACATTCAAATCACATATAATTTACGTGTGAATCACATGCGATTCACATGTGAATCACATTTACATATGATGTCATATGTAAATATGATTCATATGGGAATCATATGCGATTCATATGTGAATTGCATGTGATTCATATGTTAATCACATGAAAATCACATGTATTTTTGTAAGTGTTTTTGCATCATTTTTTTTCTTGTAGATTTGATAGAAATTGTGGTGAATATTGAAGAGGTGAAAAATAATAAATTGAAGAAAATAAGGAATGATTGATACGAAGACATGAAAACGATTTGAAATTTGTAGCATTTTTATATTTTATATTTTATTTTGTATTGAATAAAATACTTGTACTATTATGTTTATAGATTAATTAATAAAAATGAGATCTTTTGTGATTTACTTACCAATATTATAGTATAAGAAATATACATATATGTATTTGAAAAAAATATGCATATATGCACCTAAAAATTTACTTTTAAAAACAAATGCAATCTTTTTTTTTTGAAAAATGTGCAGTTTTTTTTAAATATAGTTTATTATTTTTGAAAAAAATTTAACTTTTTTTAAAAAACTCGCATTTTTTTTGTTTTTTTTTTTGAAAAAATTGTTGTGTTTTTATTTAAAAATGCAGTTTCTTTTATAAAAAAATGAAGTTTTAAAAAAATGCAATTTTTTTTTAAATTAAAGTTTTTTGAAAAAATTGCAGTTTTGTAAAAAGAAATATGATTTTCAAATTTCTTTTCAAAAATTCATGCTTTCTATAAAAATTTAAAAAATCTGCATTTTCTTTTAAAAAAACAGAAAATACTATATTTAAAAAAAATATGAAATTTTGATTTATGATGTAAATTTTTAGACATTTATATTAATATATTAAATAACACAAAAAATTAAACATTAAATGAGATTGGTAAAATAACGATCATGTCTTTAACGAATTACTTTTGATCAAACACTTCACTTTTAGTTGTCGGATTTTCGGAAAACTATAAGTTTTCAACCGGTATATATATATATATATATATATATATATATATATATATATATATATATATATATATATATATATATATATATATATATATATATATATATATATATATGAGAAAAATGAATATACATTACAGCTCCACTTAAGCTTAGGTAGTAAACCTCATGAAAATACACTATTTTACTATATAAAGATTGTGGTTAAGAGATTCACATTTAACAGTTGATGATGTAGATTCAAGATAGACGAAATAGTTTTGATAAGGAAGCAAGAATATTGATTATCTTCGACCTTAGTAATAGTGGAAAAAAAAAGTAATGTTTACTGGAGTGAAGTAATTAACAATAATTGAGGAAAAAAAACAAGCATGGTAAAATGATAATGGAGGAAGAAAATGTTATCGATGAGGTATATTTACCAACTGAAAACCAAATCGGGTATATTTGCTAAGTTAAAACGACATATTTTAGTGGTTTTGTACCTAAGCTTAGGTGAGACTGTAATGTATATTCCTTATCCCTTATATATATATATATATATATATATATATATATATATATATATATATATATATATATATATATATATATATATATATATATATATATATATATATATAGTTTTGAAAATGTTATGAAACGAAAAATATAACTTCAACAATTCGGCCTGAATGAAAAGCCCACCAAAATTTTAGCCTGTTTTGGGATCCGAAAGCCTGAAATTCCGGCACTCTGTTCGAAACGCATTTACGCCGTTACGCGCCCATTAATTACTATTCGTTACTTTCTTTTCTCCACTGAATTCTCCTTTTTCTTTCAAAATTCAAACGACTCTCCCCCTTCCTTCGAACCCTACTCCCAAACCCACTTTAATTCCCCATGTTTTAATTTAAAGAACCCAAAACAAACAACTTTGAGGTTGCAGGTTCGGTGTTCTCAGATGGGTGGTTCTGCAAAATGGATTAAGTCCTTAATCGGCTTCCAAAAGTCCAATTCCAATAGCTCCGATCAAGTAAGTATGTTTGACCTTTTCTTCAATTCATATGTTTCATATTGGGTTAGAGTGGTTGATCCAATTGGGTAAATTTTTATTTTTGCGCAGGAGAAGGTTGGGGGTAACAAAACGAGGTCATGGAAGCTATGGAGGAGCCCATCAGCGGGAAGTTCTTCTGTTTCCTCATCAAAAGGGATAAAGGCAGGAGGTCGTTTGTCCACTTCTGATGGTTCTCGTTCTGAAGATGTTTCATTTTCTGCTGCCATGGCTACTGTGGTTCGAGCTCCGCCTAAAGATTTCATGTTCGTTAGGAAAGAATGGGCTGCCATCCGAATTCAGTCCGTTTTTCGCTCTTTCTTGGTAATTTCTAACCATTTCCCTTTCTTTTACCTCGTTTATCTCAAATTTTAACCCGATATACTTCCCTGTAAGTATATGATTTGTCTCAATCTAGCCTTTTTAGATAAAGCTTGAGTCTTTCTCCCGATCGTATACCAATTGATGAAATAAGCTATAGATGTTTTTCAAAACTGCTAATAGATTTCTGATTGGGAAAATCGTCAAGATGTTTATGGGTCAAAACTATTATTACAAGACACTAAATCCAATTTTTCCTTATTATAGCATCATGGTTAAAGCTGATAACATTTCTATGACCTTTTGTGTGTAGCATAAGCCATAAACCTTCACAAAATTCACCCAAATCTAATGTTACATCAATCATATTAATCTTAATTAATTGTGTTTAAGGCAAGACAAGCATTACGCGCACTAAAAGCATTGGTGAGGCTCCAGGCGATAGTTCGAGGTCGGCTTGTTAGAAAGCAAGCTGACGTGACACTTAGGTGCATGCAGGCTCTTGTTCGAGCCCAAGCTCGTGTTAGAGCTCAATCAGCTAACACAACACAAGAATTTCCTACAGCTTTGAGAAACCATCTTTCTGCTGTCAAGCAATCTGAGGTAAATTAAAGTAATTATTTTGTTTTCATGTATTCATGATCAATTCAAAATCTAAAATACTTTTTTTATGGTTGTTAAAGGGTGGATGGTGTGATAGTCGAGGAACAGCAGAGGAAGTGAGAGTAAAAGAACAAATGAAGCAAGATGGCGCTAATAAGAGAAATAGAGCTAAAGCTTATGCCTTCTATCAACAGGTTTTCGTTTCGTAAATTTTAGATTACGAGGTTAATTTGTTGTTTTTATATAATTTTTTAGTAACGTGGTATGATTTTTTGTTTATTTTTTCAGAAACAAAGAGCAAATTCCAACTCGAAGAGTTCTTCTCCAAGATCTGGTATGCAAAACTCTGATTGGACATGGTTGAATGGTTGGATGGCTGCAAAATCCTGGGACAACACCGGTTCTTCAAAATTTTCATCTCAAATCAAGAATTATGATAATCGTAGTGTTAAATCTTGTTCTGAACATGAATCGATGAAGATAAAAAAGAATCTAGTTTCAACTAGGGTTTCGTTGAAGCCGTTTATGTCAAGTCCGCTTACACAATCATCATCAACAAACCCATGTTCTGGTTCTGTGTATGATGAAAGCACAACGTCAACGAATTCTTCATCTTCAACTTCAGAAACTCGATTGTCAAGTGAAAGAAAACCAAGTTACATGAGCTTGACGGAATCCATCAAAGCTAAAAGGAAAGGGCAAGGGCGTAATTATTTCTCAAATGCAAGCCCACTTTCGAAGGGGGTAGCTGCAAGAAGGAGTGATGATTCTGATCTTTATTCATCGGAATTGGGTAAGGATTTGTATCCACCATTGTTTATTGATAGATACGATGAAGTGAGGAGTCGAAGGGGTTGATTGAAAAAGATTTGGGAATTTGGCTAATTTTTTAAAAGTTCAACAGCTTGTTGTGTTACTTGGTTTTTACATTGATTCTTTAGCTCCAATACAAGCTTAAAGGAAAGTCAGTTGGGATTTGGATCTTTTGGATTTCTGTTTTCATACATAGATTGGGAAGTGGGGATTATAGGATTTGTTGAGATATGGTCTCAATTTTCTTCATTATCTTTAAAGAACTTGCATAGTACAGAAGTGAAAACTGTTAATGCTTTTATCTAATGTATGTTATTTTGCGAATTTTATACCAAACAAAGAGTGCATTTGCTTACATATCAATGGTAGATATGCATCATTTGGATGTTTGTTTACAAAGTTGTTATGACTCTACATTTTTCCCTATAGTTTTTTTTGAAGTGATAATGTATGACTCTACATTTTTCTATATAACTTGTGTAAGATTTGAAGTCTAGGGGATTAATGTTTATAGGTTAATCCAACTATATCTTTTTTAGAACATTATGCGAGAGACAATGTAGAACACATTTGTAAAAATTAATAGCGTCTTGAAAAAGCAAAATCAAAATTAAAACCATTTTATGTAATGATTAAAATTGATTCTTGAAAAGAAAATGATGTCATTAAACATATCTAACATACAAGAGCAACTCGAAGAATTAAAATCATAATATAAAGATTATGGTTTTCACCTAATGATGATATCTTGAAAAGAAAATGATGTCACAGGAGGAAAGAGTTCTTGGGTCATTTTCAAATATAACAGGAAATGAACGTCTTGATAGGATATATCGTGCATTGGTTTAAAAACTTTTTGACTGATTTGTTGTTATATTACATGCATACGTTCTTTACCATACTAAAGAAGATTGGGTTTCATGTGGGAGAGTGATTTATGCAACTTATTTGGGCAAAACATCAAGATCCCATGAAAAGGAAGTATGAAAATGAACAAAAGAAAGAGGGTGATGTATGTGGTAAGTTAAAAAAAAGCTTCTTCAATTTTGAGTAGAAAAGAGGGCTTTCTGTCATTGGATTATAATGAACAGAAGAGTAGAACTAAGTGTGGGGACAACAAGGACATAGTTTTTTTCATTTATTTATTTATTTGTACAATTTTTATCATGTTACTATTTGACTTGGGCATTGATGAGATCAGTGTGTCTCTCTCAAATTTGGAAGCTGTTTGATTTATGAATGATTGATATCTTCTCACATATACCTTTTTTCTGCATCATAGCTTGCTTCTAAAAATTGGAAAGTCACATGCTCCTACTTGTGCTTCTCTCTCTTAATTCTATCCCACTAGGGGTGTTGTGTACTATGGCCTCCCAAGGATAAAACATGTACGTGAGCTAGATTGACGTATTTGCATAGATGTCTTTGTGTATATTTGTTATTCTTATTGGTTTTAGTTTGTGATGGATTATGTTTGGCTGATAATGTTATTTATTACTTTGATGTGTGATAGTAGTAATACTTCTAATTACTTTTACTTTACCAAAGGTTGTATGAAAAATAAAAATATTTATAAGCAATAATGAAATATTGAAACACTTCAGAATTAAAATGAATCAACCTGTTTAAAAAAACTATGATTTTAATTAACCTAAAAAAACTTGGATGCAAATGATTCCATAATGAACATGGGCACAAAACTCCACTCTATAATACGTTGAGAATTCCACCAGCAATAATGAATCATTATTAAAAAAATATGAATTTTATTTTTCCGTCACAAAATCTAATAATCAATGCAATATTAAAAACTTAGAGCATTTGATCGATGCAAATAAAATATATGCTAAAGGTACCCATATGTTTCCATAGATTTTTAAATAATGAGAACGCACTGTATGAAACGAATTAGGGCCAAAATATAAAAAATAAAGATTGGAGTGTAAACGATGAACATTGTTTATGTATCTTTTTTTTTTTTTTTTTTTTTTTTTTTTTTTTTTTTTTTTTTTTTAATGTTATTTCCATTTTAAAACAGGTAGTGCAGGTGAGCAACATCAACAGTGTAAATCAAGATGAAGGTATTCAGCTGCTTTGATGGTGGCCCAACAATGGAAATCACACACGAAGGAGAAGCAGAATTCAAAAGAATAAAAAATCAATGACCAATGGAAGAATCGGAATTTAGTAGGGCTGACAATTTTCGACATGATACGAAATATATGAGTTTTTGTTGAGTTTTTCAACCCGCTAACCTGCCAACTCGTTTATTAAACGGGTCATATATGAGTTTCTTAAAAAATAAACGGGTTGACCCGTCAAACGGTTTATACTTTTAACAAAAAAATATATATTTTATTTTTAAATGTATTTATGTATCAAGTATATATTAATATTTAATAAGTATTATATAATATATACCATGGTATTCGAGTTTCAACAGTAACATCTGAATCAACTTTTAGTCTAGGTGGAAGAGTTTTGAATGAATATCGAAGTTCTATGAAGTCTGACATTGTTGAAGCTTAATTTGTAGTAAGGATTGGTTGTTTGGAGAGTATTTTATAATTTATTGTTTACTTATATTAACTATTATTTTGTATTGATTTTTTTTATATTTTTATCTTCCTTATCTAGTTGGTACTCATGTTAATATTGATAAACTAACTCAAAACATCATGGATGTTACGAGTTCTAATAAACTTTAAGTACACGTTTGTGCCTTATTTTTAATGACAACTATACATTTTTATAATTTTACTTGTATGCGTTTTAATATTGGCTATTGTTTCTAATTGATGGTTGAAGTTCATCATAAAGAAGAAAATGGTGTTGGAGAATTGTATTTCTTTTTTGGGAGAAAAAAATAGGAATTGTGGCTATTACTTTAGCACTTGAATTATGTATGTTTGTATTAATGTTTAGTTTGAACATGTTTCTATGAATGTTTTTAATTTTCATTTGGATGTTTAAGACTTAAGTGTCTAAAATTCGGATATCTTTACATCAACCATCAAGAATTTATTCATGTTTAATTGTCAATTTCATTTATAGAATCTGACCCACGAACCCACCAACCTGTGAACCCGTATATATAAACGGGTTGACGGGTCATATATGGGTTTATGTTTCAAACATATCAACCCGTGACCTGTATATTTAAATGGATCGTGTTTGGGTCGACATCTTTTGACCCGCCCAAGGTTGTAAAACTCGTTACTCGGTACCTGTTCGGCCGACTACTGAGTAGCGAGTATTCGGGGAGTACTCGGATTCGGTAATTCATGTAGAAATAATTTTAAGGAACTTATTTATTTCAAAATCATAAGTTGATTCAAATATATAATGAAATTAGATACACGTGAACACACAAAAACCAAAAAACATATAATGGTCTTATCACGTGAATAATTAAGGAAAACTTAAGATATGTATGTAGTAATAATCACGTGTGTGAGTGTTAAATAATAAATCATTAAATATATTATACATATTAATCACCGATTTGACTGGGTTTTACAACATTGCTCAGTTCATTAAGGGGCCAATCGGGAAGTACTCGGGATTCTGTAACTCGCTTTGGTAAGGGGCCGGGTAGCGAGTACTCAGAGGAGTAATCGGCCAACTCGGCGAGTTTTACAACATTGGACCTGTCAACCCACTAACTCGCGACACGCCAACTCGAACATGACACGATTGCTAGACCAAGAATTTTGTAACATATTTAGAGGAAGAATGGCAAGGTGGTCGAGCACATAAGAAGGAGAATAATCAAAACTCAGATATTTACAAACCTTTCATGAAAATGGGAAGGTGGTTATCGGTGACACCATCATCTTCGATTTATGAGATTGATGTCGAAAAAAACGGGGAGGGGATGGGGAATTACTGTAGAGAGATTTGGGCGGCTAGGATTCAAGAGAGTCAGATGTATATACATGAGAGACGTAAGAGAGATGGAGATAACTGATATACCTAATATTAATTAGCCTAATATTTAGGAAGATAAATATTCTATACCAAAACTAACCTTTAATAAATAGGTAAGATTTGATTTTATTGTCATCAAAATCTCGCGAGATAATATGACATTTTAGTAATTAATTGCGAGATTTTGATAATTTCTGAAGAAGCTTTATTGTTTGGAGAGTTGAAGTGATAAAAGCTAACAAATTAAAAAAGAACAAAAAAAGAGGAAAATTCGTCCCATGTGGCCATTCTAGACGCCGACACGTGCCCCCACCCCTATCATGACAATTGTCCAGCCTTTGTTAGCTGGTGAGTTTTTTTTCCACCCGTTTAGTTTTTCGGTAATAACTTTTTTTTTTCTTTAAAAAACCCAAGGTCTTAAAATTTAATTCTCTACAAAATAAGTACAATCATGAAAATTGAAAAAATTATTTGTTTATTTTTATATTTATAAAAAAAAAACTCATAAAAAAATCTCCAAAAATTATAAAAAATTAAAGAATACTTTTACTCACTATTCTAATGACTTTCTAAAAAGAATTTTTTAAAAACAAGATGCTTTAGATATCAAATTTGATTTTAAAATATTAAAGGTTTAAAAAAAATGTTAAACATAATATGATTTAAATAGAGATGTTTCAAAATATTTATGATTCAAAAATATTGTGATTTAATATACTTATGATCCTTAACTTGTTATAATCTAAAAGTATTTTGATTCAAATAATATATGATTCTTAATTATTATATATTTTATGATTCATAAATGATATTTTCTAAATTATTATTATTCAAAATGATATGATCAAAATATTTATTATTCAAAATCATATGATCGAAATTTTAATGATCCAAATTAATATGGTCCAAAAAATATATGATGCATAATATCGTTATGATTCGAAATATTTTATAATACTTAAACATCGCAAACCGAAACCAATATTTATTTCGAAAAAGAAAAAGAAACAAAAGATTTAAAAAGAAAAGAAAAAATGAAAAAAGAAACGAAAAAATTGAAAAACCGAAAAACCAAGTATATATTGATCAAAAAAAAGTTTTAAAAAAATTTTAATATTTAAAAAAAAACAAAAACAAATAAAATAAAAAACTTAGAATATACTACTACATAATTTTTTAAATTAAAAAAAATTAAAAAAAGAATAAAAAGAAAAAAAATAAAAGGAAAAGAAAAACTCATTTAAATGTCGCACATGATTATTTCCTTGAAGTCGTATTACTTTCCATGGACGTGTGTTGCGTGCGAACACGTCACGACCAAGTGATAAGTTTGACGTTTGTGTCGTTGACGAAATGATTGGTGGAGAATAGTAATCGCGGTTCCTACTAATTTTTTGGTTCCTACTGGAACATATTGAAACTATTATTATTATTAGACACACACACACACACACACACATATATATATATATATATATATATATATATATATATA